CTCGGGTGACACTGGTGTTGTTGCCAAGCTGCTCGCGATGGGGGTGCGCGCCACCGCGACGGACGAGGTGCGGAGGTCGCTCATTGTTGCTGCATACCACGCCGCAGCGTAGACCTTGCGGACGGCGCTGCACGTGGCGGCCACGCATGGCGAGGAAGCGATGGCCGTGCTCCTACTCGAGAAGAATGCGCTGCTTTGTCGTTGCCGCGATCACGTTCGTGCTGCTTGTGTGGGATTGGAGTATGCATTTGCCAGCGTAGAAGGGAAATCTACCGCTGCACAACGCAGCGGCCAACGGCCATATCGCTCTTCTCGACCACCTCGTGGCCCCTACCGCCGCTCGGACGATTGACGAAGCGAATGATGTGGACACTTGAGCACCCTGTAGCGGCCGCTGAGTGCATACGTGTAGGACGGATGGACGCCCGTCGCCCTCGCCGTTCAAAGTGGTCACACGAACGTCGTTGCGCGCTTGCTCCACCATGGGGCCTCGCTCGAGCACAAGAGGCTCGTACGTGCTGACGAAAGAGCATCCGTTCGTAGGTGCGATACGTTGCTATGTGTAGCAGGACGGCACGCTCCTGCATGTGGCCACGTCGCGTCGCGTGGGCACCGATCTTCTCAAGCACCTCGTCACGAGCGGCAGCAAGGTCGAGGCTTGCGACACGGTAGAAGCGCTCAACGTCCCACTACACCGTACCGATGAGCGACTGTGTGTAGCGGGGCTGGACGCCGCTGCATGTTGCAGCCCACGAGGGCCACATCCAAGCTGTCGAGTACCTCGTGCGAGTCGGTGCCAACGTGGTGGCCGAAACCTTGGTACCGCTTGCCCCGTCCTTTGTCCATGATAGTGAGATACCTGTAGGACCGTGAGACGCCCTTGCAAATCGCAAACGACAAGAAAGTCGTCAAGGCCTTGCGCACGGCCCAAGCCGACGCGCGGAACCAAGCGATCAAGGCCGAAGCCGACGCGCGGAACCGAGCGCTCGCGCGCGCACAGGAAGCCGCTGCCCAGGTAGATTGCATGCCATTGCTACAACGTGATAGCAAGCTCCGTGATGTACAGGCAAAAGCGTTGTGCGATGCCGTTCCCAAAAATGATGTCGGTGCGGTCACGGACCTGCTTGCTGCTGGCGTCGACCCGAGTGGGCTCACCGTGGTACAATCTCTCTGCCGTGCCTTGGTTGTCGCACAGGGCGTCGTCGTAGGAGGGTGTGGCGCTGCCTGTCGTGGCCATGCGTCTCGGTCACTGGGAAATCTGCGACCGGTTGCTGGCCGTCTCGGTTGTCACGAGCGATGCGGCCCGCGTACGCATGCTGCACTCGCTCGCGCTCGAGCTGGAGCAATTTGAGGCGGCGTGGCACATTCTGCAAGCCTACGCTGACGTCCTCGCGTGCGACAAGGTACTCACGTCGGCTCGATCGTGTTGTCCCACGACGATGGCTAGCACGTCTTGGCTGAAGACGATACCCCGGTGCATGATCTGCAGGCCATGTGGACTGGCGCCGCGCTGCGCACGGCCGCTCGCAAGGGCCAAATCGACGTTGCCAAACGTCTTCTCTCGCAGTTTCAAGGCATTGTTGATGCGACCAACGAGGTAACACTTGCCGTTGCACTCTTGTGGGCTCATGTCGATTTTGTGTCGCTAGCGTGGCGAGACGCCGCTGTATGTGGCGATCGACCCGACCAACGAGTCTAGTGACGTGGCTGCGCGCACTGCGATGGCAACACTGCTACTGGGCGACGGCGCGAACCCTCTGGCTATCACTACGGTTTGGGCGCTTGCACGTGATATGACGGAATGAATTCGCGTTGGTGTAGGCGGGTGTGACGCCCTTGCTCTTGGCGGCTCGCAGTGGCAACTCGGATATCACTGCAGGGATCGTCAAAGCAGTGCTCGCACAGCCATCGCCCGACATGGCGGCGCTCAGCACTTGCTTCGCCGAGGCCGTTGGGCAGCGGGACATGCGAGTTGCGACTGTGCTTTTGCCTCATATGACGACCGACGATTGGACATCGACACTCGCATCGGATCCCATAGTAGCACACACGCTGCTTTTCGTCGAGCGGTAGACTTATGATGGACTATAGGGCATGGCGATCCTCGCAGCAACCGCCGGCCATCTGGGCATACTCGAACACTTGCAAGAAAAACACTACGATCTCTTCTGGGTCGCTCATGTATGAACTCGCTCGTCCGCACGTGTGGATGGTATCGAGTGCGTAGGGGGCGGAGGGTTCGACGTTGCTCATGCTGGCGGCCGCAAAAGGCCACGCGAAACTCGTCGACCACCTCGTCCCCTTGCTGCTACCATCATTCGAGCCGATCGACAAGGCACGGGACGCGCTGCAAGCTCGTGAAAAGGAGCTCGAGGCGGCCAGAGACCATGTGTGTCTGCGCAACACGGTACGCTGCTTGCTATGCGCGATTCGACAAAGTACATATCCTATGTAGGCTGGACAAACAGCCAAAGATTTGGCGACCGGCGCTGTCTTGACAGAGTTTTTGGAGAACATTGCAGCGGAGCTCGAGCTTGTTCGACAACTCATTCAGGTGTCAACGATGCGAATGGAACGAGCGCTCATGCTTGATGGCATTAGGAAGCACGGCTCGTCGAAGCTGTCGACGCCCACGACTGGCTGCTTGTCATGACGCTGCTGAACCAAGGGGTTGCTGTCACGGATGCCTGTGTCGTGGTGTGTCAATCCGCAATCATCTCGACATGGACTGGCACTTGACGACGATATGTGTGGTTGTAGGAGACGATATGGCGTGCGGCTGTCGGCGCAAACGACAAGGAATTGATCACGACGCTCTTTCGCGCAACGGGCATTGACGCGTCGCTGCGTAAAGAGGTATCACTCTCTCGAGTCGCAGAGGTGGTATCACTCTGTGTAGGCTGGTCGAGCGGCACTGAAAGAGACGATGAACAAAGAAACACACAACTGGACAATGGTGTCGAGCATCCTGCAGGCCTTTGCCGCGACCAACGGCGGGGTCGCCCCCGAGGTTTGCACATTGTGTGGCGAAGTTGTTGACGCAGACTACGAGTAGGCGCTTTTGCCATGGCACATTGCCGCCGAGTGCGCGTCGTCCGCAGTGCTCGGTATGATGTTTTTTCCGCTGGGCCACTGCATCAACAGCACGGACGCGGTATGAACCTTATCGAATGTACTTGGATGGGACGACTGGCGTAGGACGGCTTGACGCCCGTGGCCGTTGCGATCCAAACCAACCGACGAGACGCTGTTGACATGCTTGTCAGCTGCGACGCCGACATCTCCATTGCACCGCCGGTAGCAACAATGCCTGGCTATGGTTGTACGATTCAAAATTTGGTATAGAATATCGACCCGCCACTGCACATGGCGCTGTTGCTACCCGACAGCTCAGACATTCTACGCATGGTGCTGAGCGACGACGTCAACGGGCTGGACGTCGAGCAGCGCAACACGGTGCGCTTTGTGCCCCTTCATCGACACCATTCTCAACCTCTTGAAGGCCAACTATACGGCGCTCATGCGTGCGGTCGTCGATGGCCGTGAGGAAGCAGTCGAGCTACTGCTTGAAGCAGACGCCAACGTCATGCTATCGCTACCGGTAGAATAAGTGGATATGGTTTCCTTGTGCGACCGAGTGCGTAGGACAATGGACCGACGATCTTGGCGGCCGCAGCGCAACGCCCGAACCGAGCGATTACGACATTAATGGACGACAAGGTCTATGAGGTCCTCAGCAAGGTGGCTCGTGCGGATAAGACGAGTCCAACCTCACATGGTGCTTAGGAATTGCCTGCGGACATTGTCTTTGATGACCTGCAACTGGGCGAGAGTCTTGGTGTTGGTACGTATGGTACGGTCTACCGCGCCACGTGCAAGCAGAGATATGTTGCAGTCAAGACGTGCAACTCGACCCGTCGGTGCGACATCACGACCTTTCGCGAAGAGATCGAAATCACACGCCAGTACGAGTATTGCGACCATCAGCTACATGTTAGGAAATGCGCTGTAGACTGCGCTCGCCGTACCTCGTGCGGCTGCTGACGGCGGTCGACGATGCGAATGGCAAGCCGCACATGGTGCTCGAGCTCATGGACGCTGGCGATCTGTGCAAATACATCGAGAACAAGCGCCTCGGGACATTTGTGACGAAGGATTTCCCTGTCGTGCAAGTGGCGTGGGCAGTTGCCAACGCACTGGCCGATATCCACGCCGCCGAGTGCATCCACCGCGACGTCAAGAGCAAAAACGTCTTCCTCTGCACGACGAACGGCGTCAAGCTCGGCGACTTTGGCACGCTCCGATCCGTTGATGAGACGATGACCAACAACGTCGGGACGCCGCAGACGATGGCGCCCGAAGTCACGCGTCAGGGTGTCGAAGAAGTATGCGCGTATGATACGTCGGCAGACATGTACTCGTTTGGCGTCGTCTTGGCCGAGCTCTCGTGGATCCGCACACCGTACGACAACAACCTACACGGTACCAAGGACCCGGAGGGAAGTGGGAACGTCTCCCCAACCATCCAGCCCCACTGCGCCATGTGGTTTAAGACGCTGGCCTCTCAGTGCTTGGCGGTGGACCCGGCGGAGCGCCCGTCTGCAGCCCACGTCGTTGAGATGCTGGCCAGCCATCTCGAGGACGACGACGATCATGTCGCGCCCACGCCACCGCCCGAGCCGACGCCGTAGCGAGGCCTTGTATAGGATTCGTCAAGGCAGAAAGATGCAGTTGTTTCCTTGTTGGGTCATGTAGCGCGAGGGTCGTTGGTCGTGGCGAAGGGCTGGTGAGGGGTGAGCACGTTGCCACATTTTGTGTCAGAGCGTATGTTGCAATCGATGGCCCGAGAACCGAGTTGTTTCCTCGTATACCGAGATGCCTGTAGCACAAGTACGCGTTTGAATCGAGGCCGGGCACCTACCTGGTCGTGTTGTAAGGTGACTGCTATAACGATAGCCGGTGACAGTGGCGTTGTTTATGATGCGTGGTGTACGTTGGCCAATCATTTGCTGAGATGGTTGCATGGAATTCGAGAAGGCGATTGTGGCTGGCATAGGAAAAGACGACAAGCACAAGACCATGAGCAGAGGTAGAGGACGATGAAGAAGCGACAGGGGACAGCGCTGTATGTGGCGATGCAGAAGAAGCTCCAACAAGCTGCAGATGGAGGTCGACTGGCCGATGTGAAGCGCCTCGTGGAACAAGAGGCACCACTCCCAACTGCGACAATGGCGTACGTTCTTCTCTTGTATGTTTGGTTGTAGAAGTGTATGGGTTTGGCCGTAGTGCTTTGCTCGCGGCTGCTTGGAGTGCTCGAACGGACGTTGTCCACTACTTGCTTCAAAAGAAGAGCATGTCAACGGAACGTTGTGATTCGACTGAGCTTCGTGGTTCTGTGCGTATACGATCTACGTGGCAGTCGTATGTACAGCATCAGACAGTGATGATCGAGACCGCGGAAACGATGATGCCCGCGACGACGGAGATGACGACAGATGGGGAGGCCAAGACGAGTGGCAGTGGTGTGGTTGAGCAATTGACGTAGCTCACATGGGTCCTTGAACACAAAACCAGCGGCAATAAGGTACCTTCTAAAGTATGCTTGGTTGTCGTCTCACGTACACATTTCCCTAGGCGGTGTGAGGTTACGAGTTACAAGCTGGTCAAGCGAATATACTTGTCGTGTTGGACTCGCCAAAATGGTGCGTGGTTGCAACAGCCTTTCCAGACAAGTGGATGCATCGATAGTATTCTGCAGCGATTTTCAAAGGCATACTTGCTTGCGAGTATGAGCAAACAATATCGCACCTCATTGTCTCTGCACTATACCCTACAACAAGAGAGTCTCTCACACTAGGTCCAATTCATTCTCAGACGAAGAGCATTTGCTGCTGTAGTCGTCAGATCCGCGCAGCAGACTCCCCAAAATGTCGTTTACCTCTGTGCCAACTTGGCGCGAATTCGTTTCAAACTTGATTGGCGGTCCATCGCCTCCTGTGGAGAAGCATCGCCTGTGATGGGCCAAGCAATGACTACCTGGAGACGCGGCACCCCAATCTCCCATTGGTGCCCTAGCCGCAAATATGACCAGATTCGTGGTCGACGCTCTCAGTCCACGCGCCGATCGTCACCACCAGTGCATCTCTCGCAACAAGCACATGTCTTCCCTTTCGACTACCAAGTGTATGCATCGCTACGACGAACCCATCCTGCGCACGAGTTCACAGCCGGGCGTGGCACTCGCCTATAGCATGCAATAAGATCCTATGAGTTCTGCTGATAGCAGACTGTCCTCCTTGTGCAACCGTTATGGTCGCGCCGCAACTCGATCACACGCGCGGCCACCAAGACCAGCTGTTACAAAAGTTTCAATGTTTCGAGGATACACATGCCACGGTCGCCTTGTTCAATGTACTGTACAAGAGCAAGAAACGAGTCCTATCGAGCGACGATCGCGTCGCATGGGTCATCGCTGGCAAAGATGATATCCCAATATGCGACTTGAATGCATGTAAATGTCGATAGCTTTTTGCCTACCAGTATTGTTTGCATGGGGTATCCCCGAAGACAATTGAAACAGGCTCCATCGATTTCTAATGTGTCCTTGGTAGTGTTTGAATGTGGCTGCGGCAGAACGACGACTTGCCTCGGGCCAGCGCTGGTCTTTGAAAAAACGCGTTCAACCCAATGCAACCGATCACGTTTTATTCGGCTTTTGTGGGTTTCCGACCGGGCGACATGTCGACTGCTGGTAGCGTCTCCTACTCGACCGACGTGCATGCGACGCCCGTGGTCCCGAGTCTTGTGGCTGCGACCAAGGTCTACAGCCGCGTGATCCATGCGCGCAAGGCGAGACGTCCGAGGGCAACTGGCACACGTCGATGGGCCGTTCGATCGTCTTGGACGCGGTCAAGACGCTCTACGATGCGATCCTACCTCTCGTTCGACGCATTGCACCGGCCATCGACCTCATCGTCGATACGACAGTGCTTGGCGCGACTCGAGCTTGCGCTAGATTCACAACGACATGGCCATCTCGACCGGCTAGACGTGAGACGAGTAGCAGCACAAGGACGATGATACCGACGACGAGCGCCCGACCGAGTGTGATGCGTTGGTGGCTGGACAGCCCACATGGTGGCGAGGTAGGCCATCGACTCGCGCCGGCTTGTCGGCCTCGTCGAGCAGCAGCGCCCTCGTGCACAAGCTACTCGATACAGGTACGCGACGCCGCGTCGTCCAGCCATCGGATGTTTTTTCTCTGTGACGGCGACAACAATGCGACCGCCATCGTGACGCGGGACCCCGACTGCCTTGACCGCCTGGTTCATACGGTTGGCGACCTCAGCTTACTGCGGTGGACGCAGCCAGCCGTCACGGACGGTGTTGCCAAGGTGACGTCACGACTGCCGTCCGTTTCGGTCCCCGTGTCTATGGCAACTACGCCGAAAAGTACGTCGGCGGCGGCGGGGCTGATGCCCGATCAAGTGCTCGCTGCCACGGAAGGTTGCCGCGCAGCAGTGACTCGATTCGCATGTCGAGGCGTGTCCGCTCGCGTGTACTCGTAATAGATCGGCTTACGTTGCTAGTGCCACTACGTGTCGTACAGTCAGTCGTAGTCCCGCGCGCGTGACAGACCCGTGGCTGCCGTCCGAGCGTCCGAGCGCACTACTGTTTTGGCCCGCCGTCGGACGCTGTGATGCTCGATCGATGACGTCAGGGACCATGTCGTGACGCATTTCCGGACGCACATGCTTGCGATGACGTGGAAAGGCGAGAGCGACGGCGCCGCCGATGTCATTGCATGTACCACCGCGTCCGAACAAGGACTCGGCCGTCCACTGCGTCCTCAACGCCTTCGCCCACCACCCCGACGTCACGTGGCAGTCTCAGCCACTCGGGCTCTGTGCCACGTCAAGCCGGCGACGCCGCTCGTTGTGCCGCCGGTCGTCGCGTCGCAGGGAGTCCTCACGCCGTCGATGCCATCGTCGCTGCCGCGATGCTGGAGCCTCGCACCTCGGGTTGTTTTCCTAGGGGCGAAATGGCCACGCGTGCGGTGATCGACCGAGAGTAAAACACAGCACGCGTCATCGCACCGACGACATCCTTCCGTCGACTAGTAACACCGAATAATTGCATTCGGTGTAATAGTACTGTACGTTTTCTTCTTACAGGATTCGCGATGCGACGATACAGGGTAGCCGCCGAGAAGAGTGGACACGTTGAAAGCGACGGCTTTGCCACGGTGCCACATACCCAACATAAAATACAATGAAAATATATCAATGCCCGTCGCTGCCGATCGAGTCGATGTTGTACATGTTTTTCAAGTTTAGTAAGGCAAGCGACAATAGTCGCTTGGATGGGCGCGCGGACCCAGTGCGTCCCACATAAAAGTCATCGACATCGTCTGCTAGCTCCTCGACAAATGGGACGTTGTCAACTCGCACCCGAAGATCGCACGATTGACATCTTTCCAAGTGGCAAAGCTACGAGCTCTGGGAGCACCTCCAACCCATCGGAGAGGCGCATCGAGATGGTCAGCGCCGAGAACGGCGGCATATGCAGCGCACTAACTAGAACGCAGGTGTCCTGAGACCACTTCAAGCGCTTCTTTGTGATGTGTCTGGGGCCAAACGATGTCCCCGAGTGCCACGTCGTATTACCCGTGTGATTTGCATTGTCCGGATCCGGATATCATGATCCCCGTTGCACGCCCGACTGACGCCAACGCCACAGAGTCGTATACGACGCTCGTCGATAGAGTTCCGAGGCCGACACGCCGCGTCCAACGATATTTTGCTCGCTACGACAGGACCGCCGGTGACGACAACGACGTCATCCTCGCATTCGTTCACACGTCAACTACCAGCATCTCTGGCGGCAAGCACATGCCACCTACGAACCAAAGTTGCATTGCACAATGGTACCTCGACCTGCCTGCGACGAGCAACCGCGTCTCGCCAACGGCTCTGGACGAAGCTACCAACGTCGCCGTCACAGTGCATCAGCATGATGCATCTCGTCATGCAGTGCTCAGCCTCGTTACGCTCGCCACAATGGCAATCGTCGACACGAACGGTTGTTCTAGACAGCTCGCAGCGGTGCCGCAACCAAGGGCGTGATGACGACATATATACCCTTGGCTACGTGGGCAGTCGCCAACGCATTTGCCGAGGTCTACGCCAAGAACAAGAGCTGCAACAAGTCTTTCTCAGAACCACGCACGTGTGCGTCAAGCTCGGCAACTTTGGCGCGGTGGGTCCACGGGCTCATGACGGACGATGCCGGCTCGATGATCCGGATGGCGCCCGAGGTCATGCGCCGTGGCTGCGCGACCTCGCCGATCAATGCTTGGCGTTGGAGCCAAGTGAGCGCCCGCGGCATACGAGATTGCCGCCTTCGCAACGCCTCTCGACGACTCGGCACGAGAGCCGGCTCCGGAAGTCTCAGTCAACCGATGCCATCACAAGAAGTGTGGTCAGCGGAGCGTTTTTGCGTCGCGTGCGACGCTCGAGAGACTAGAGTCGGTGGTGTTGTGTTCGTGGCGGATGATGAACGAACGGCAGAGCGTCAGTGTTGGAGAGGTTTAGTGTTGCGGCGAGCAGACCACGACGTCGGAAGATCGCAATGTCGAGGGTGATTGAAGAATAGACCTCCTTGCACGCACGTACTTGTACACGAACGCTGCAATAGCGACCATGTTGCTACGAGCTGCCATTGAGCTCCAATGTCACAACCGAGCGACAGGGGACGTGGCTATGATTGGTGTGTATTTTGGCCAATCCCATGCGAGATTTGGAAATGACGGCATGTGATTGGAAGGGGCGTTTTATTTGCATTTTCGTTTTGGACGTTGACGGCCGCAAGGACCATGAGCGACAAGGAGGTACGTGGGCGAAGAGATGAAGAAGGAAGCGACCGACTGCGTCTGTGATTACATAGGAGGAGCTCAGAGTGGCTGCAAGTGGCGGTCGACTGGACGACGTGAAGCGGCTCGTGGAGAAGGAAGGCGTCAACCCCAACTACAACAATGGTGTACGTCGTCTTCTCTATCGATAGATTTGTAGATTTGTATGAATTTGGTCGTAGAGAGCATTGTGCTTTGCTGCTTGCAATGGTCACACGACCGTCGTCGACTACTTGCTGAAGAAGAACGTCTCGACGGAAGGTCGCTATGTACGTCGATCGATATTTCTATCATCTTTTGATTGCAATTGAAATTCAACGATCGGTAGGGTGGAGATACACCTCTGATCGACGCTGCTCAATGCAATCATCTCGAAGTTGTGCGTCTCCTCTTGGACGCCAACGCCGATCTCAACGCCAAAAACAACGTACGTAGTCTCTCCATCCTCCTACATCTACAACAAAAGAACGTAGGACGACAAGACAGCGCTCGATCTTGCGGCTGAAAAGAAACACAATGACGTGGCGCAGCTCTTGCGCGACCATGCCCAACGCAAACTCACCAAAACCAAGGTACATATTGACACGTTGGACCTTGTCGACGTGTAGTATGGTGTTCCTGATTAGCTGCTTGCAGCGCTGCACGAAACACGCATCCAAGATGCCATCACCCTCATCAAGTCAACCACGGTGGACGTGAATCTGCGGGATGGCGTACGTCGACTCCATCGCGAGCTACGTACTAAGCATCCTATTCTTGTAGAATTATGTCCCACTGCTGCAGTTGGTGGTCGACACGGGGGACATGGCGCTCCTACAAACCCTCCTGTCCAAGCCCAACCTCGACGTCAACGCCACCGACAAGGTACACTTCTTCATTGAAGACATATTATATTTCACACAACGTACTGTCGTAGGAAGAGCGCACGGCGCTGACACGTGCGATCGCCAAGAGCAACGTTGCAGCGGTTTTTGCCCTGCTAAAAGTCAACCCTCTCATCCGCTTGGTTGACAATGAGGTACTGTCGTCAGTGGCTTCTGTACCACCGCAACATCGTTGCTTAGGGTCTCGTGATTGAAACCGACGTCTTGGGATCACTGCTGCTCCACGCCGCATCGACCAACGACGCAAGCAATGTCGACAACCTGCTCCGCGCCGGAGTTCGTCCATCCACCATCAATAAGGTACGACGTTCGTCTTTTGGAGAACGCTCGACGCAATCTCTGCTTCGATAGGACGGAGCCACCGCACTGCACGTGGCTGCTGCTAACGGCTACGACACCATCGCCGCGCTGCTGCTGGCAAAGGACCC